GCATTCATATTAGTTAGGAATCTACATGTTTCACAAAGGTAGTTCTATGAGAGATATAAAGATAGATCACATTAACACATTAATACTGCTTAATTCTCAAATAAGATTCTCAAAATATAAATATGTTCAAGGTTTTCACCTAGCTTGAATTTGCCTTTGTACTGGGAAAGTTATTGTACTGGCATCCTTCCAAGGGCAAAAGGCAGAGGATTCTCAAACTTTCCTCTTTTGCTTGGGAAGATCACTGAAAATTTTATGGTTTGAACAGAATTTATTCAAAGATTACAAAGTGGTTTCTATCAGACAGTAATTGATACCTTTAAGTTATTTTCCACTATTTGAAAACAAAACAAAATAAAACACGCAGCACTTCACAAGTAGCTAAATTGTAAAGCCTCTGTATTTGGATTGATTTAAATCACCTAGTTTGGTTAATGTTGTACCACATAATGATAAGAGGTTTTGGTGGGAATTTCATAGAAATATGAATCAATGATTATTTTAATACAATAAAATATTCCCAGATGGAGTAGAATAATTAAAAGATATTTGGCATAAAAAACTGGTAAAACCTCTAAAGAGGTTCTAATGTGCTAATTTTATAGACAAGAACACAGATTTAGACAACTTTGTTATAAATGGAAAAAAAAAGATATTTTAGTATCCTTTGCTAAAGTCCTTGTATTCTTATAGAATAATGCATAATTTAGTAGCTACAGCAAGCTGGCTTCGTGGTTGTGCTACCTGTGCACTCAGGGTGCCTACCTTAGAAGGTCACCATACTTGGATGAATTCTCTGTTATCATTGTCTTGAAATTCTTTTGAAGTTTTGATCAAGGATCTCTGTGTTTTTAGTTTTCACTGGTTCCCACAAATTATGTCGTCCTGTAGCTATGACCATGTTGTCTCCTAGTATTTCATTATTTCCCCTAAAAGACTGAACATTATCCAGGGAGCTTTACTTTTTTAGTGTTTCTCATGCCATTCCCAAAGATGCCTCTCATACTAGTGGATTAGTGGCCATAGAGCCAAACAGAGGGCTGAGACTTTGGTGCCTTCATCTTCCTATGCATGTACCTGCTCGGCGCTTGATACAGAGCAGGTGCTGAATGAATGGCTGAGTAAACGAATACCAAATTATCAATATATACCTGTTGACTTATTTAATTGACAAAACAGTCAAACTTTATATAGTTTTAGATTTTCAGTGAAAATTGGCTAGGTGTTTTGGGAGAGATAAAGAGAAAATACTCAAGGAAAAATATTTTCTTTGAAAAGAATAGATGGAATTGAATTGATGGACAATTTAAAGCAAATACAATTGAAAGACAGGTTGAACCCCAAATTGAATAAGAAGAGATGAGTGGTTAAAAATAGTGCGATATCTCTCAACAAGTTATATCCTAAGGTTGAGTCTTTCTTCTTTAATTCAACTTAATGAACATCAGATTCATCCTGTAAGTTGTAACCCAGGAAATGAAAATTGTTGTCTAAATTTTGAGAAAGGAACACATACATAAAGGGTATGCATTCAGGAGAAGCAAAAGGATTATTAATTATTCTTTGACTATTCCAAGAGTTCTTGACCTACTGTTTTGTATTAATAAACAGTAATGTGAATATAAAATTTGCACAAAGTGAATTTTTAAACTCTTTCTTCTGCCTCTGGGTGGAATAAACAGAACTCAAGATCTGGTTCCCAGTTCCCACAGCTCAGCTAAACATATTTTTTTCTATTCTTTAAACCATAACAGCTTCATACTCTTATATGGGCTTGGGGAAACATATTTTTAACATTCATCTTTGTAAAATAAAACAACAAAAGATTCACTCTCTTTTCTCTGAAGTCTTTAATATTGTGTTTGGTCATCTCTCATATTACTTGGGAGCACCAGTTCTTTACAAATCATGTATCCTTATGTATTATCTCTTAATGTTCAATCTCCTTTGCCCTGGGTAATATAATACAGTTCTATCTAACTGTAAAGAGGTTCTCCATAGCATTGTCTAGCTTTACTTTCTATTTTGTTGCTGTATCACACTTGAATAAGTGACCTAAGTTGTGCACAGATGTCCAAGGGTGGCTTTAACTTATTTTGTATTTAATAAAAATAATTTAACATATTCATTACTTCTATTGTGGCTCTCCAAATTATTTGTGGAGCTACAATAAGGCTAGTTCACTGAATATTAAGTATGCAAGAGCAAGTGATTTTATGCTTCAGATGATTATTTATGGGAAAATTCAATTTTTGGAGATAAAAATAGTGGAAAAGAGGTTAATTGACAAGCAAAATGAAGCAACAGTGGAAATAAGCATTTGGGGGAAATATAGCTTTAAAATAGTGAATGAGAAGAGAAGCAGGAGGTATTACTAGTCAGAAACTCAGATTATAAGCAGGCAATGTCTTAGTTTTAGGGCTATACTCTGAGCTCCAATTTAATGTACTTATGAGGTCCAGAGTAGAATTTCAGGACTTGGTAAGATGAACAAAAGAATTTCATAGGCTATATTTAAGGGAAAGAGATGACAAAAAAGTAGCTTCCATCAATCTTGAGGGATATAGTTTTTTAATTCCCTAGCCCCAATACAATAGAAGTACAGGGTTATAGAAATTTATCCCTTGCCACCCAAGAATGTTCCTCAGGCTCAACACTGAGTAAAATGAACTGTTGAGACAATCCAATGATGGTATTCTATAGGAAGATGTATGATGGAATTGTCTTTGCTGTGCCCATTTTTATGTGACACATACTTGAAAAAAATGCACTTTAAGAATTCTGTTGCTGGAACTGTAGCCATCATTAGAAGAACTCCATTTAGAATGCTCAGCTTTGGTCCTGTGGCCTGTACTATTTGAATTCCCCAAATTTATGAACCAATGAATGGGAATGGGAGACATAATGGCAAGGTATGAGGTTTATTTCACAAGCCAAAATGAGAAACAGCAATAGCCAAGCATCCAAGTTCCTTCAATTACCAGGAGCTGATAATTTAACAAAAATAATAAAAAATTAAAAAAGAAGAACCCAAACACCTAGTTAAGTTTTTAAATCTATCTAAGACCAACCAGGAAGAAGAGGCAAACTATTTTTTACTAATTTTAGAAAAGTAATGCAAATATATAATAGAACATTCTATATAATAGAATAGACTTGATCAAACTCACTTTGAATGAAAGCTTGAGCTGAATGTTACATGAATATTCAGACAATAGCAACTGGTTTGAAATTTCTTTTGAGTGTAATTTCAACATTTATGCATTTTATCTTCTCCTAGGCATAAAGCCAAAGGCTAAAAGAGCAGAACATAAAAAAGCTGAACCTGAATTATGTTCTAAACCCTGTTGAGTTTAATTTTACTTACGGAGCCGACTGTTCATTTAAATTTGTCCCTCACAACCCTGTAAAAATACCTAATTTCTTGTTATCAGTCTCTAAATTGTGTTATTCATTTAGAAATCTCCAATTTTAAGAGCATCATTCTAAATAACTAGGCAAGTGCTACACAATAAATACATATAATCTAAAACAGACTACAGAGAGAGAAGAAAGCTATTTTCCATAAATTTGACTGCAGTAGAGGGCTTGCAATTCCATGAGCCTTGAACTTCAAAAGGCATAAAAGAAACATTTTTAGCTAAATGGAATATCATGAGAGGATGAGAACTTTAATATATTGATGTTTTATAAAAGGGTAATGCAGATACACATTCTTGATATGAATTTGGAGAAAGGTTCAAATCATCTTTTGAACAGAAATGCATATGCACTAAAAAATGAAAAAATGCCACTCAGATACATATTTGTTTCAAAATAATATTCAATTAATGATGGATGCACTACCAAAAATCAACAAACTTTTGATAATACATACAACTAAAACAAAGAGATGATGAAGCATACTATATGCCTTATGTTTCCTACTCAAGGTTTTTATATAATATCATATATGAATTCTTAAAAAATATGATTGGAAAACACTCCAAGTAGATAAAAGACAAGTTAATTGAAAATATAACTTTTTGCTATGGATTGTGCATTTTATTTGCAGAGATCATGCAAAGGGTCTTAGCATGCAATACTCACATCACTCAAAATGTAATTGTTTAAAATAAAAAAAAAAGGAGAGGTACTAGGTGAGATTCTGGTAATGTTCTAGTTCTTTCTTTGAACTTAGTTTCATGGTGTACTCACATTTGGTTTTTCATTGAGTCATACACCTGTACACAATAATTTGTGGAATTTTCTGTAGGTATATTATATCTCAAGCGAAAAGAAAAGAAGGAAGAAAAAAGAGAAAGGAAGGTAGGAAGCGAGAGAGGAAGGAATGAAGGAAGAAAAAAAAGAAAAGAGAGAGAAAATATGCATGCTAGGAGCTTCATATCCCATACTGGGGAATACTGTGCTAAAAGAAATTGGTGCTGCAGTCATTGACTTTAGATGTAACTTTATAGGATTGCAGATTTTGGCAGCCTGGTTCATAGTAGAAACCACTTAACTGCCATTTCTGCACAGACTAACATTTTCAGACTTAGAAAAAATCCTTGTAACTGAACAATTCTAAGTGCCACCATATAGGGCATGCAGTCTTCCTATTTTGGGAAACAGAATTTAGAAGTCAGTGGAGGAAAAAAAATGCCTAAGGGTTTCATTGGCTTTGTATTCAAAAACACATCCACACACAAACAAATTTTATTTCTGTAGTCCAAGTATCTGTGACTCAACTGTTTACAGTTTCTATCTGGCATCAGGTTGGTGAGACACTGAGTGACCACTTAACTGCTAAAGGTGTTTTAGATCGTGAACTTGGATCTACAGGTTTTGTCTGTTACTAAGAAGCAGTTTTCCAAGGCAAAAGGTTAAGCAAAAATGACATATATTGTAAAACTGAAAGTAAAATGCACAGCAGTAATGTGCTCAAAGTCCATGCATTTGAATTCCTGTGTATGATAATCCATGGTGATCATGTCTTGAGACTGCACTGTGAGCATACTCACCCCTAACAAGAAGCTCTGCCTCATCTGACACACTGTCTGCTGTGGTCTGTACCCTGCAGCCATATCTCCCAGCATGCATCAGAAGGATGTTCCTGATCATTAAATCTGCAGAGGATGCTTGCTGAAAGAGGGATGAAGTGCCAGTTTAAAATGTTGCAAATCTGCCTAGTTCAAGGTGCTCTAAGGGGAATTTAGCACATTAGGTCAAAGGGCCCATTTTTTTCCTTACAATTATATGACAACAATACAGAAATTAAACATGCCCTATTTTAAGGAACACATAGAAATTATGGAATAAAGAGTTTGAACATTTAATATTTCATTTAATGATTTAGCAGCTACAATATTTAAGAAATATTTAAATGTGCACAAACTTTCATATATTTAAAAGTATTGGACAAATAATCAGTGAGGCAAAATTATTGCTTTGACATTCAGAGACAGGCCTGTTTTGTGGCAAGACAATAGTTTTGAAAGGTTTAGCAATTTGTGGAAACTAACTATGAGAAGATAGCAGTCAAAAGATGATCTTGTGCAATTTCATTGAATGATTGCAACAGAACGAGAGTCCTTAGGTAAAAGATTGCTGGTCCCAAAGCCATGTGTCTTTACTTAAGAAAGATATATTCTTCCTGTAATCACCACTATCAGAGAATAGGGTCAGCCTGAATTTCTGTTAATCACTGTAGTCATGAAACACAAAGGAGGTCCCAAACACTTGGTTCTTTTTGGGAGTGAGATGATTAGGACACATTCAAAGAATTGCAGTTAAGGAGTATGAGGGGGAATATCTTGTAGACATGCCAGTTCATGGGATTAGTGATGAGCCTACACGTTAGAGTGACAGGTACAGACTTTTCATTACTTAATTCTGGCTTTCATTTACTCTAGCAGGAAAGACAGATTTCTTTTTTTGCAAACTTCAAAAGATCTGGAATTCACAAGTCATAAGGCATTTTTTTTATAACAGCATGGCAAAACTCCAAAACTTGCTTCAAGTTTCATGTTGCAATAAAAAACACTCAGTTAGAATGAGCGTAGATGTACATAGCTTGAAATAACATTTTCAAAGCACTCAACATTCTCTTTAACAGTAGTTGAGCATATGAAAGAATGTCTGAGGCAAGCCAAAGAGGAGTACTTCAGATTATTTTTTGATGGAATAGGTAAGTCACCTTAACAAAGTGATGTATTTGTCCTTAGAGGGCAGTTTCCCAATAATTATTTGAGTTTAGTTGCTTGCCTTTATTTTGATACAGACCAATGGGCTACATAAAAACCATAAAAGTGGGAAGAATTTCTAGAAATTCCTTTGATTTTTTTCTCTTTCCTTAGCATTCATTGAAAGTGTGTGAAGTTATTGGAAGTTTTTACCTCTCATATTATATGTGTTTAAATTAAATGCTTAACTGTACACTATGTTTTAAACAATTTCTTTCTGGTATTTCATTTCTGTTTTTTCCCCCTTTTTATTAGTCTTATGATAGGAACTTCTAAGAGTATTGAAGTTTTCTCTCAAAATAATTGTTAAGACATAGTCTGGTTTAGTGATTTACAAGGAAATGCTTCATGGTGAGAATGCATTAAAGTGTCATAACAATTATTCCAAAGAGTGTGATATTTGTCCAGAGAACGGCTTATGCTGCTAATTTTCTTAGGATAAATTGGTTCTCTTAAATTTCGTTTTCTCTTCTATACTGGACTTTTTACTTTTTTCAAATCTGAAAAGGAACTTTGTATTTTAAAACTCTTTGATTTAATAAGGGAAGGGAGAAGAAATGTGTGAGAAATATCAGAAAGGGAGACAGAACATAAAGACTTCTAACTCTGGGAAATGAACTAGGGGTGGTGGAGGGGGAGGAGGGTGGGGGGTGGGGGTGAATGGGTGACGGGCACTGAGGGGTACACTTGACGGGATGAGCACTGGGTGTTATTCTGTATGTTGGTAAATTGAACACAAATAAAAATTAATTTATAAAAAAAAAGAAAAAAAAACTCTTTGATTTAATATGGGTAAACAAAAGCAAATTGTAAACATTATAAGGCATAATCCATTCTCAAATCAATGTAATTTAATACATATAAATAATATGATATTTGTATCACTTTAAATAAAGTGATATTTTTATCACTTTATGTAGTATGGGTCCATCTTAGGTGTGAAAATTTCTTTTTCCCCCTTGGATTTCAAAGAAGCTCTCTGAATAGGGCACTTAAATTAATCAGGAATCAACATGCACGCTATGAACCTGGAATGAGACCTATGTCTAATGGAAAAGCTAAGGAAAAGTCCAGAAAATCAAGAATAATTATTTATTATTTCCAGCAATAATGCTTCTGAAAGACCGTGCTTGGTATTTTCTGTTTTCTTGGTTTTTTTTTATTAGCTTATTTTTTAATATCACAAACTGATTGGTGGTAGCTTAATAGCAGAAAAGGAATGATTAGAAGTCTTAGGCTCATATTTTTGAAAAATTATTTTATAAAATCACATCTTGTGGTTAAATGATTGATTGTCTAATCTTCCAGAACTTTTTCTTCCCGAATTATTGATTTCTTTTTGTCCTGGATAAAAGTCCTCAAACCTTTGTCCTTTCTGTTGAATTATAGTAAAAGAAAAGCTTAATGGAATCATGATGAGGCTTCACTGAAAATCACATAAAGGTTCAAAGGATTCAGGAGGGTGAGGTATAGATTATCTTTCCTATGCTGTCCTTTACTCGGTGCCTGCAATTAATAATGTGCAATGCTTTATTAACTGGTTGAAGCTCCATCACCAACTATCAGGAATCAAAAGTCTATAGCCTATTGCATTTCTGTCAATGTCAAGACTATCTGAGGAGTTAAAATAGTCTCATTTTGGGCTCATCCCTTCTTTTTTGGATCATACCTGTGTTATATTTTTACAATTCTAAACTGGAAAGATTAAAGTAAAATGAATGGATTGTGAACACTAAATCTAAATTACCCTTTCTTAGATTTACTGATCTTTTAAGAGAAGTAATGAGAAGAATTCATGTGAGAACCCATTATACTTAATCTCACTCAGTCCACACTATGCAGTTCCTGAGAGAGAACCTCCACAATTTAGTGCACTTTTAATGAAATGATTACTTACGGCAGATGCTTGCTTTCTTAAGCTTAAACCTCATATTCACATTTTCTCTCTTAGGAGTTACTCTTTCTTTTCTTGTTTTGTTTGACACTTGCTTTATATCCTGTCTTTATGAATAAATTTTGTTATATTTTATTTCACATGAACTTCCCCACAACCAGTATTTAACATAATGCTCCCAGCATTGTGCACCTAGCATTGCACATGCCACATGGTAGGAGCTCAATAAATATTTGTTGAGAGGTTGAATGTATGAAGGCTCTCTAAGAAAGGCTGTTATGCTTGTGGTGAGCATAGCATAAAGCATAGACTGGCAGAATGACTACATTGTATGCCTAAATCTAATGTAATATTGTTTGTCAGCTACACTTCAATTAAAAAAAGGATCAAGAAAGGTACTGTATGTTTACTCTCTGTGAGAGCAGCAACATGACTAAATCATTTACATTTCTGGATCACATAGTCTTACTAGAGCAGTTGCCAGATTATCACTATTTTTATTTATGGCTTTGAAATAATACAGGAACCATCATCCTTCCACTCAAGTCCAAGTCTTTATTTGCTTTCACTTTGACTAAATATCCTGCTGATCCAACATAGGACTTCTAGTTAAGACTTCCTAAAAATGGAAACACATATTATTTTGCTCTTCAAAGTGTCTGCTGGCTCCTATTACCTTGAGGTTAAAGTCCAATCTCTTCACTTCCACACAGAAGGCTCTTTACTTAGAACATGATGCTACCTCCTACGACAGAATCCTGTGCTTGTACAGTCTTATCTCACATTTCCCATCCAACGGAAAACTTCTCCTAATTCTGCCTATTGTTCTGTTGCAAATACTCTTTCTCCTTTCTTTTAGACAGCTCAAATGCCTTCTCCTTGGTAAAGTCTGTCTGGAACTTTTGGGTGAGGCTTCATTACTTCTGCCACTGTTTAGTTATGCTTCAATAGTGTTTTACTCATGTCTCTCAAGTAGCACCTGATATTCTTGGGAGGCACTGCCAAGGCCTACTATGGGGTAGTCCCAGAGCTGAGCTAGGTGCTAATTTAGCCAATGATCATTGGATGAGCTGATGAATGCATGAATGACTTCTTCCGTCTTCTCTGTGCCTGCATACCTCCTCCTCCCCACCACCTTTTTTTTTCTTTCAAAGAAGTTAGGATGGGAAATAAGAAAAGACCATAGAACAGTGGAAAAAAGGTACTTAGAGTATATACAGGTTTTAGAAAGACAGAATTGTGTGAATACCAGCTCTACCACTTACTAAATTTTTAACTTGGGAAAATTACTCTATCATGCAGAACTCTCTCACAGTTGCAGTGCGATAGTACAAGTAAATCCCATAGCAATGTCTGGCTATAGTAAGTGTTTGATAAATGTTATCTGTTCAAGCACACTATAATTGCACTCTTAGCCAAGACAAATCTTTCTTCAATTGGTATTCACTCCTTCAACAAATATCTATCAATGTTTTCCATAGATATAGTAAGTTTTCTGATACTTAACTATATATATAGTTATATATATATAGTTATATATATATATATATATATATATATATATATATATATATATATATATAATCTTCCTCTCTTATAGGGAAACTTCTGGACTCAGAATAAGAAGACCTGAATTCTAGCCTTAGTTTTTAGCATATTCCTAGCCCTGAAACTCTGGGAAGTTCACTTTATTGGGATAATGACAACTGCATTGTCTCTTTCATGAGGGAAATCAAGTGAAACAAAGTACAATACATGAACTATTTGGGAAATACTTCATAATCTAAAATATTCTTAAAGCAATTTTTTCATCAGGTTTTAGCAGAGTGTTGTGCACATACTAAGCACTCTGAGAATGTTTGGAGAATGAATCATCTAAATAATAAGATAAATTAAATTGAGTATTTTTGTAAATAAGACTCATGCTGAATGTCTCAGTCAGAGCCTGCAGGGGATGGCAGTTTCTGTGCCCTCATTTAGGGTTTATTCAGCTTTCTCAAGAGGCT